GCATGTTTTCAAGATCTTTGCAGGAAGTGCCAGATTCAGCCACTGCTGCGCACTTGCGGGTCCCTGGGCCAGGACTCCCGTCGACGTCCGCACCGGATTTGACGTAATGACATCCAAGGGACGGCACATGGTCATGGAGATCATCAAAGAACAAGCACCCGGTCTCATCCTCATGGCACGTGTCTGTGGACCATGGTCAAATATGCAGAACATCCAACAAGACCAGCAAAAGGTCTGGGAGAAGCGAAAGCGCCACATCCCAATGGTTGAATTCGTGGCATCCATCGCGCGATATCCAGGATCTTGTGTTTAGCAACTACATTAAGATCCATCCGTGGCCTGGGGGAGACTTCCATTTCTGTGCACACAGACGGAAGGATCCTGAATCTGGACTCAGAAGTCTCAAGCCTACGAGCTTGATGCATTGCTTACCTCCTGAGGTAATGAAACCAATGTTCAGAAAATGCAAGAACTTCACCAGCTTGGTGAAGCATGAACATCAGCCTCTTGAGGGCAACGCAGGCGCAGAACCAAATTGGCACAGGTCTATCCTTACCACTTTCACCCTGCGGCACTTGAAGGTGAAGCCGCTTGACAGCGGAGTGTACCTGCTCGAGGACATCTTCGAGCCCTTCACCAAGCAGGTTGACCTTCTCCGAAAGGAGATGGAAGCCATCGACAAGGAGTTCAACATGACTAGCAGCAGCAGCGCTGTTAAGATCCATGATCTCCCATTCAACAAGAATGTTCAGTCATTAGTCATCCAAGATCCGCTAGTCCAAAAGGTCCAGAAAACATTGAAGCAGTACCCACCTGAAACGGAGATCGATCCGACAAGATCCAAATGACTGGCGATGTCAGAACATGTGGAGCGGTTGCAAGAAATTGAGACAATGCATGCACAGCATACTCCGCATGATGCGTGCATTGCTCTACGGCAGCTGAACATTTGGGTCATGCCTGCACCCAAATGCAATTGGGAAGATGTTTGTCCGAGAATGTGGAACCGTGCAGAATCCATTCGCGGACGCTCCGGCCATCAAACTGACGCCAGTTGTAGCATTGTAGCAGATCCAACAGATCCGCCGGATGAACCTCAGCAGCCTCATCAACAGCAGCCACCAGAGGCCCAGGCTCCAAAGGCAAAGGCGAAGAGACGCGCAGAAGAGACGAGCGATTCCCCGTGGAAAAAGTGAAAGAGGAAGCTTCAACGACATCACATCCACAGGAGAACGCAGACATGGAGGTAGAGCAGGCCTTTGGGGACATCCGATCCAACAGAGTTCGACACTGAAGATTCAAGACAAGAGAAGGCCAACCGAGGAATTGAAGAAGCCCACTCGCAATCCCATCTCACCAGCAACTCCTCTCACCAGCAACTCATTGAAGCTGACGACTAAGGCAAAGGCAGCGCCGAAACCTCAGCTGGACAAGGAGACGCAATCTGAGACCGATCCCTACGGGGAGAGTCATTGCCCACCATTGCCGAGATGTCCGACAATGAAACTTACACCTGCATCGGAGACAACTGCGTAATGACATGCGGCGCCTGCGGGGAATCACATCGGCGTCAGACTCCTGCGAGTGAGTGAACATTCCCTCAACTTTGTGGAAGAGTACTACCATGAGTGCAGGACCATCCTCGAGCATGATGCCAACTTCTAGTATGTCCCGGAACACGAGAGAGAACTTAGGGAGAAGCCATGCTGGTTGAAGGTCTGTTTCAATGACCTATGGTATCCGGCTCTACGGGGATACGGGGGCCATAAGGCCGAAAAATACATGACCTTCATACGAAAGGACTATGGCTCTAACATCCCATTGTCTGCCAGAACGGAAGGGTTGTCCAGACATCTGTCCGCACTGCGGTCTTCATTTGCAAATACTACCTCACCGATGAGGAGAAAGCACAACCCCTTAAGTCTCGGATGAGCAGGTTATTTTCCGCAGCTCTTCGGCATAAACCCGAGGGAATGCATGAGAGACATCGCCATGCAGAAGTGAATGAAGACGGACCATGCGACCTCTACGAAGCCATGAGCGTCATCAACCATGCACCGAATTTCTTGGGCACCCGGCCGGGCATCTTTCTCATGACTATGTTCCCGAAATATGGCAAAGCCCGATTCGAGATTGCATTCGTCTTCCCATTCTTCGATGGACCGATAATCCTGGCAATCGGACAGCATACACGGCACTTCAGACATGGAAATGTGCATCCGGCGCAACAGCGGGCATTGCAGGAACGTCAACATCGAGACTCTCGGCCAACCATTGTGGGAAGGAACGAGCCGACATACGAGCTTCCATCGTCATCCTCTACCAAGCAGCCGGCTCCATCTCCATCCAACCAAGGCGAAGAAGACGCAGGTGCAACTCCGAAGTCCAGATTGCGACGTCCGGCATTTTTTGAATCGGTCGAGGAAGACAGAAAGATCCAGATGCCGATGACTTTCATGATGCGTGCAACTCACGAGGACGAACTACGGGGACGAACGCGTGTTCACATGACGGGCATCAACGACGTGATCCTGGACGACGTACCTCCCGATAAGGCATTGCAAAATGTACCTGCCGGACGAAATGCCATGGTTATTTTGGGATTTACCAAGGAGAACAACTACGGCATCAAAATGTCCGGGGAACGCACTGCGTTGACAGAGAAAACCATCCTGCAACAAAACATCATTGCAGCATTCAATGCAGATGGAGACCTCATCCAGAACAACATTTGGCTCATGAAGAAGCAACTCAAACCGGAAGATGTCGAGCAACGCGAATCCACCATCAATGAGTGTGCACAGCGGTTCCACTCGCGCAGAACATGACTGATCCAGAGAAGCCCACAGGCATTCCGCAGATCAAGACGATGACGACTAGCGTCGCATGGAGTCCGATCGAGAGAGATCAGTCCGACATAAGGTGACCATGGAGTTCACCAATTTGAGCGACTTCATTGAAGAGCTCAAGGAGAAAAACCTATACAGGGAATTGACCTAGGAGCAGGCAAAGGAAGAGCTCGAGGAAGGCAAGAATAGAGCTCGAACCATCATGGACATGTATGAAGTAGATCCACGAAGAGTTCTACTACCATCACAACCAACACATGTAACAAATGCCGACCAGATGTCAGGGCGAATCAGACAAAATCAGGGTGGCATTCGCGAACAGCCTGGGCAAGCTCATGCAAGCATCCGATCGCCCCATCGTCGAGCATAACGGGAACCATGTGTTCGCATTCTCCTTGCGGATCAAAGCGGCATGGTGTCGTTACCAAGAATCCGAAGATCAACAACCACAAATTGAGACATGCCGATGAAGGACAGGCCCATGGGCCCATCACCAGGATGCTTCTATGCAACTTCGCACAGATCATTTGCCTGAATGAAACAGACGCATTCTTCGAGGCTAAGGACGAGAAAGCACAAGCCCTCGTGAAGCTTTTCATTCAGCACGGCTATACGGCAATTGTCCTCAAATCATGGCGTGCACAATCACTCGCATGTTTCGTCCGGACGAAAGCAAAGAGTCGAGCTCCTGGCACGGTACATGTCCGATTGCGCTGCCTGCTGGAGCACCACCTTTGGTATGTTCAGATGCTTCTTTGGCACCGAGGCCAATAGCAATGACCCTGAGGACCAATGACCCTGAACACAAATCCCACATCCACATCCAATTTCTTGGCCACCACCTGAATGACAATGCTTGCAAAAGACATTCCAAAATTCATTGGAACTCGATTGCCACCGCGCACCATAGCAGGACGTCCATACGCAACAGTTGGAGTTTTTCATGTCCATCCAAGCATGCCACTCGGAACTGAGTTTTTGCGCGATGTGTTCACCGGAGATGGGAATAAGTTTGCGAATGCATACAGCAAGCATCAACTCGTATTCCGTCTGGCCTTCTGAACTCATCGTGAAGCAATACCAGACGCTGTGGGAATGACACCCTTGGATTGCCCAGGAAAGACAGACTGGACTGCGCAATGGATTCGGCATGTGCTGCCAAGGCCATTATATCCTCTACATGAAAACTGGCTCCGGGCATAATCGGTCATTTCCAGATTGCATGGTTACATTTACATTTGGCTGGGGCAAGACAGACATGCAGCAGCAGTTCAGGAAGAGCGACTTGATGCGACTTGAGTGCGCTGACATCAATTGGAGAAAATGAAGAATGAGACATTGACCACGGTTACCGGTTGCAAGGCGACATCAGCAGAACGATTCAAGCACATCAACAACGAGACGTTCATGCGTGGCTCATGTGACTCCGAATCACATCGCCCGCTGATGACCTGCATCAAAAGCCGCCATTAAGGTCGCGAGAGAAACTACCAGAAATCCAAGGAATACCACCGCAAGAGGAATGAGACGGCAAGGCCATCCTGGAGTTACAACAAGGAATCCAGCGGCTGCAAGAATTTGAAGGACAAGGGCTACAATCAAGGATCATGGAAACTATGATTATGACAGCGCATCTGACAGCAGTGCATACCGCTGGTACAACAAGAAATACTAAGCTGCCATTCAGCCTTCTTCGGCATGAACTTGACCTCCCTTGGTCTGAGATACATGCCAATGTGTCAATCTACAACCCACAATTCGAAAGAGAGAACACCGAACACGTGCACGACGAATTCCGACAGATTGGTCCTCACCATCAACAAGACTATCCAGTGAGAGGCCAATAGTTTCACACCGCGCTTGTTCGCACATCATTTTCATACAGCTAGGTATGAGGTCCAAACCAAGGTACCTTATCCTGGAGGAATTTGTCAATGGAAAATGCAGTGTGTCTGGAAATCCCTTGTAAACATGGCTGTTAGTAAAGACTGTACAGCGGTCCGCAGTGGCTTCCTGTTTTAGCTACTGCGTCACACGAGTAGTCTAATGTACAAGATGGGCCTCGAGCCAAACGGTTGCATGGAGATCAACATGCAAATCAAACACAGGACCCCTGATCAATCGAAAGCGGCGACTATGAAGCCCAGCTGCATTTGCCCGATACGGAGTTTGCCAAGGCCAGCGCCAGGCTGGCAAAAGCAAAGCGCACAAAGAAAAAGCCCGCCATGGCTGGGCTAAGCGGTCGATCAGCTTTCGCCCGGGCTCGCGCCGAGGCTATGAGACTGAACGCTGCGCCAAAGTCAAACAGACTGTCGTCTGAACTTCAGCCCTGCTATGTTAAAATTATCTTAACGTAAAACCCGGCGCTGGTTTGGAACCGAGTGGAGCCTATGCCTGCCAAACAAAGCGCTGGCAATCCACTTGTCTGCAAACAAATCTGAAGGCTGCCACCTCGGACCCTTGCCCCAATCGTGGTAGGAGGGGGTGAGGTACTTTTGCTCTCAGGACTCCCTTGCCTCAGGGGCCGGACTCCTCGAAGATGTCTCAAGGCTCAAGGCCGGTCTTCACATCTCCGTCCCGCCTTGGCTCAAAGCGGCGAGCAGCAAGGAGGACACGCATCATGTCCGAAAAGAAAAGCCAGCAGAAAACCTCTGTAGAAGCAACGCGTTGCAGAGCTTTTCAAAACTCGAAGTGGGCCCAACCAGGCCAAGGTATGGGATATCAGACTCCCGATCATCACGGATCTTAAGCAGCATCTGGCCAGATTGGTATATCAGCCTGTGCCTTTACACTGCTTTATGGATATGGAAATGGGCTGTGTCCCATCCAACCAAGCCCCTGCTACGCAGCCAGAAAATCCTTCCGCCCCCTTCCTGGCAAGAATTCCCAATCGGCCTTCGCTGTCACATCGCATAGGCTCGCCGGCAGAAGCTCGGCCCAAAGCCCACAAGGCACGCTCTTAGCCATTGAGCACGTGGTTTTGATATGCCTTGCATCCTATCTTCAAATGAGGCACTGCCTTTGTTTGAGCGAATCAACATGCCATGTTCAGAAAAGGCTTCAAGGAACCACCATGACTATGCTGGGGAGACAGGCCGGGATGCAACCCGGAATTTGGGCCGGCAGGTAACTCAAACATAAAGACAGCAACAATGCCAACCGCCTGGTCGCAGGGCTTCTCAAAATGAGCTCATGCTCTGCAACACTGACAGGCCCACAAACGCCGAGGAAACTCCGGAGCTCTTTTTGTTCTTCGGTGCTGCCCGGCGATTTGATGTCCAATGATGGCGCCTCGGCGCGTCTGGCTCTTTTTCCGGACGCAGCGCAAGGGCTCAGGGCATTCCACCTTCCAGTTTGCGCGACAGCTCGCCCTTCTCCAAGCGCTTGCTCTTGACAAGTCCCAGCATTGAGAAGAATATTTGCACCGTCTATGTGTCGTCCGCATCAGCAGCATCAGCGTGCTCCGATTCAGCATCATCACTCACCAGAAAGGAGTATGTCACGTTGGATCCGTGGTCTCGTTGAACAACCCCCGGCTTTGAAAGTTCTCGTGCTCTCTTATCCTCACTTGCCACGGGGCCAAATGAAAGGCGGAACCCTTTGGAACGTACACCTATACGCGCAAAATGGGCATTGCATGGTGAAGCATGGCGCGCCACCATTCTCTCAACATTCTAACTATCCAACTGCAGCACCAGCAGGGCATGAGTTGGACAAACCACCGGTCAACATCTTCAGTCTGTCAAGTTCTGAAATCAGCCGAGTCTCCCTGAAAAGCATCTTGTCCAGGCCCCGGTCAACCACCTCAACCAAGACTCACTATCGACCCGGGGCCGTTGCAGCCTGAAGAATGTGTTTCTCTAAAAACCCAGATTGACAGATCAACGCAAAATGTTGTCCGCACAAAACACTGAGCTCCGCCCGACGCAGCTTCAAAAAGCAACACACATCGCCGTCTTTACAGGGAATGACTCCATTCTGAAAATAGAAGCGGGCACGGAAGGTGGTGGGAGGGGGGGCACAGGGGGTCTTTGGTGAGGTTGATCAATTTTGAGTAGAGGATCATACGTAAAGGGACCCTTGGTGCCACTGGAAGAGTAACAACTCTGCAGGCACTGGCTGGGACTTGTTGGCCTCAACGAAAGAAAACGATCTTTACAGGGCTCCTGACAAGGGGAAGTGGCCTTTGATGCCCTTTGTCAGGGCTCCCTACTCCCACACATCGCACAAAAACTGCATGTAAGTCAAGAAAAAACAGGCGATGGTTTGCACCATGTGGGGTGAAATCTGGGGAATGCTGTGGGAGCTCTGTCTAGGTCCTTCAGGTAGAGAGGTTAGAATAAGGGTAATTGTTTGTCTCTAGTCTGTTTTAGCAGGGAACCCCTCAAAAAACTTGATAAAGCACCACTGGGGGACCTAGCTAGCTGTTGACCAGGAAGGACCAGGCCACCCCAGTCAACTCGTCCCCGAACGCCGAGGCGCCATGACCAGCGCGTGCGGGTTGCAGCCTGGCACGAAGCGGCCCCGGGTGCCCAGGGCAACCCGCAGCCGATCCCAGAAGGCGCGGGCGGCAAAGTTCACGGCCCAGCCCAACAGCACCTGGGGCCAGGCTCCAATCTGGGCCCATCAGACGTTCAGAATTTCAAAAAAGGTGGTCAAACAACAAACTAAATGGGGTTCATAAATATCCTTTTGGTGGACCTTCATGGAGAACACCTCCCCCCCTCTTCGCCCGGAACGTAGGTTGAGAACCCCTGAACAAATGCCCCAACCCAAACCGCGGCCCGCGCAGGTTCCGCGTTCCAAACAGGTCACCATATCGGCTCGCTTCTGCCCATGTGACCAGGATGTCCTTTGAACCACCGGGAGCCTTGAACCCACCGGCTTCGTTGAGCACTTTCGCTGCGGTCCAGTCCCGTGCTTGCTCCGTGACCAAACATGATACCAAAAAATGTCTCGCCTCTTTGATGCTTGGTTGCAAAAAATCAGCCCGGGGTTTGAATCCGGGAAGACATCCTGAGATTTGTCCCCCAAACCACCTTGCCGCACCAAGGTCACCCCATGATGATTAATAGGGGTTGTCCCATTTTAGAGGGAATCCTTTTCAAGAGCTATCTGAGATGTCTACTTTAGACTTGGTTTCTGCCATGCCATACGAAGTAGGACAATAGGAAACCGATTTGAGCCTTTGTTCCGAAAATCCGAGTTACTGGCTAGTTCTCCTTTCCATTTTTTGCCAGCCCCACAGTTTCAATGGTGATTCCTTTCTTTCCTCTTCTTTCTCCAGGGTGACTCCTTCTGCCCTGCAAAGTCGCCTATTTTTTGCTCGAATCAGGGCGCCACGTCCGCCATAAACACTGCCTCCTCGAGCAGCATGTCGGACCTGACCGCAAGGAAAAGCCAGCTGAGAGCACTTCCCCAGCCTGAGAAGTCCTACAGTGGAGCACTTGTCGGTGATGTTCACTTTCAACAATGTTTGGCGCAAGATCTGCGAAAGTTTCGCGCAAGTCTGCGGATTGGGCACGGCTTTCAAGGGCCGAGTGCGAGGTCTTCGCGCACTACTTCCGTGATTTATGTTGATCCGCGAAGATGGCGTTTCCGGGCACAAATTATCTCAGACAACCGCTATATATGTACATTGTTGTGTAGGTAGGCAATCTAGCTCTCTGTGTGTTTCCGAAGAACCCACCCAGAAAGAAAAAAGCGCATGCCGCATGATGCTGAACAACTGGGCAGCTGAAAGTGTTCGAAGCAAACGATTCCAACTCCAAGGATGGACATTCGGAATGCCGGGCTGTTCTGACACTGGGACTTGGGAGGAAATGTCTGGTTTGCAGCCCTACCCCCAAAGCAAGAAACAGACTGTATGAAACAGGGGGCACCCCCAATTAAGGTTTGATTCATCTGGGGTTGCCAGCAAAAAATACAAAACGTGCAAAGTGGAAGCACGTGACAGCGTGGAGGACACCTTGAACTCGAAGCCCAGCTCTTTGCTGCACCAGGCCCAATCCTCCACAGGATCCAAAACGGTCACCGCGGACCTGATGCCCTTGGCACAAGTCAAAACTTCTTGGCGCAAAGTGGCACTCTGAGCCCTGGGAACAAAAGAAGGCGTGAGTACATTCAACTTCACCTCCCACAGTTCCAAACCTGCCACAAACAATCGCTCGCAGGACAAAGAATTCCAAACCTGCCACAAACAAACGCTCGCAGGACAAAGAAGAAGAAGAACAAAAATAAAACCCACGTATTTCAATCATTTTTGAACTAGCTTCCAGCTCATGGAAGAAGTGGCTGGCACCAAAAGCGCAGCAACCTGGACCTCCGGCTAAGTCGGTGATCTTAACTTGACCATTCTCTTGGACCTTGTCAAAAAAGTCCCGCCACTCTTGGGGCAAATCAGCCAATTCGTGAAGCTGCTGCAGCTCGTTCTCTACAGTTTTGGCCCTGGCTCGGAAATATTCGTGGATGTATGCCAGCTGCAGCTTGTACTCTTTGTAGATGTGTGCTTTCCAAACCCCGCCGACGATGCTCAAGGCGTACTTCCGGCCACACGCAATCAACCGATCCAGAAAATCCTGGTCCGAGCCTTGCGCGAGTCCAGGCTCCCAAAACCCGGGACCATGCCTTGCTTCAAGGACCTTGCTTAAATTCCGGCCCTCCGTAGTGGTCACTTCCATGGCTCGCAACGACTCCAACACCGCTGCATCCTCCGGGTGCATCCGCCGCAGCAGCTTGGCCGCGGCTTCGGTGGCATCTTGGCAGCGCCGGGATTCCAGCCTCGGCCGTTTCGGGTGTCTGTCAGCCGCAAGCGATGCCATGGCCCGGCTGCCAACACAACGAATCCGTGCTCATGACTTGCATCTTCCCTGGAAATCTCGCATGCGTGAGATGCAGGCCGCAATCCTGCCCTTGCGTGTTCCCGAACCTTGCTGCAACCATCCTAGAGCTGTGCGGGCAAGCTAGTCTCTGGCACATTGCCTGGTGGGGATGTCAGCTTCTTCCCAAGGTCATGGGAAGACGCCACTCAAAACAGGTGCGCCAAGCGTGGCAAATTGCTCGGCAACATTGTGTCAGGCTCCTCCGTTCAAAGGGATGACTGCAGTCCCCAAGTGTCGTCCACAGCTTTGTTTGATTCGGTTCCGGCAGAGTGTCTGCCTTCTGGAGTTCTGGCTCATTTGGTTCAGGCGCAAACTCGGTTAGCTATTGCAAAAAGACTGCTGCATGCATGCATATGCATGCGAAACAAATTATGTTCGAAGAAACGGCACCCTACTATTTTGTGCTTTGATTGGGCAGCTGTCACTGATTGTCACTCCCCAATTCAATTGTTTCTTTGTGCAAGTGCAAAAACAATTGTCGGCTCATGGCGGCAAACATTTGCAAGTTGCATTCAAAGCCTCCGATTACACAGAAATTGTTTCTGAAACGAGGCCATTTCATCATTCAATTTTTCAGTCCTTGTCCTACGTCGCGCCAAGCAGCACCCGACATCCCCCTATTCCACTTTTCTACGTGTCTTTGTTCAAGGAGTTCAAGTGGCCCAGAGGATTTTGTTCACTAAGCGCCCGATTGCCTTCCTATAATTCTAGGATCGTCCCAAGATCATCGAAAGGAATGCTCACAAAAACGCGGGTACGTCAGGGTTGACAATCCGGACCGGACGTCGAGCTGCAGCCGCTTTGTCGAGAAAAATATTTAGCTGTAAAACAACGTTGTTCCCATCACATCTTTGGGCGAAGACCGTGCTGTTCTTCAGGCTGGTGCAGCTTCTTGTGTATCTACACGGCCCAGCAACATATACGCGAACACCTTGCATTAAAACAAATAAAATATGTGCAATTGGTTAAAAACCAGTATCTCCGATAACCTCGTGTGGCTATTGCGCCGTTTGTGTGGGTCAGTCTGGCTGAGCGTAGCTGTAGCTTTCCAATTTCAGCTGGCATGCGGCAAGAGTGTATACCCAGCCCTAGTTTGCGCATTGCTAGTTTACAAGGGGGTCCATGGCCGAGTGGCGGCTTCTTTGGGGTGGCTCGGTTACTCGCTAGGGTTGAGACCTTTGCGGCGACTGGACTGTAGTCTTGACAAGCGAAGCGTAACCTCCACTCGGTTGCTTGCCGCAGCACGGTTGGCATTGACAATTCTGCCGGCTGATGACGCTCACAGGTGGCTTGGGTGCACGATTTCGCCCAAGGGCTCTTCTGGTCAATCGTTGTTTGTGGCGTTCCATGTGCAACAGGCGACCGAGGCATTTTATACCAACCAAATCCTTCTGGATCAAAAGGCTTCTGCGCACAGCCACCTCCGGTATATTGATTCTGTGATCTCACGCATCGTACAATTTACGTTGTATTTGGAAACGCGTTTCCGGAAATTTCGCCGAAGCTTTCTGAGCCTCCACCGGCTTGAGCCCCAGCCCAGGGTCAAGTGCTCTAGCTGATCCACCATGGCTTGGGCCGGCCCAAGGCGTCACCGAGGCAGACGGCTGCCGGTGAGTGGCGGGCAAGTTGAGTCTGCGAGCAGCTCCAGCGGCAAAGGAAAGCTGGGCTGCGAAGGAGAGCAGAGCTGACTACCGAGCGACCAAAGCTGCGACAACGGCCCTTGCCAGACGCGCTCCTTCCGCACCCATGCCCGGCATACCCGAGCGGCCGCCCGTTCGAGGGCGCACGCGCGCCTCAACAACACGCCCGCCCGAGAACACGCGGCAATGACACCAGCAACGCCGGCCGCAGATCGCAGACCAAGCCGAAGAGGCAACCCCGCAATTGCCAACGCCTGTGCGGGGCCCGCATGAAGCAGGGTGAACAAGCAGTCGTAGACTCGGGTGGGAGCAAACGCAAGACATGGTTGCACCGAGGAGTGCAGCAGAACAACAACAGCAATTAAGAAGCCTGCGCGGTCCGCGCTCCTGGCACACGCCGCGATGTCCTCCTTTCCCTTAGCCGTCTCCTTGACGGGCATGGCATTGCGATGTTGATAGGAGTTGTGCGGAAGTCACACCAGGACCCGCCGGGAGAAAATGTTTCCTAGTGGGCTGTGTCAGGCAAGGTTCCAAGAGGGTTTCACGAGAATTCCACCCGCGTTCCACAAGGTTCTTGCTGCGAAGCACCTGTGCGTTGCCACCAAAAGGCCGAGAAACAGCCTGGCACACCCAGTTGTGGTAAAGTGTTTCCTGAAAATTGAAAAGCAACAGGTCATGCTCATCAGGCACTTGAATTTGCTTTTGTGCTGCCTTAAAGTCGAAGCTTGCTCCAACGAAAAAGCTATGCGTGTCCCTGTAGTGAATGGCAAGGCACAAGTCAGAGGCCATAGGAAGGCTAACCTGCTCGGGCAGGTGACAGCGCGGGTTGACGTTTGCAGATTATGCTGTCGAGGACCAGGCTTCCAACCGCGATGCCCAGTCTGCGCGGACTACCCAGCCGTTGGCGATCTCATTTTCTAGCAGATTCTAGCAGGGCGCTGACCACTTCATGGCGAAAAATTGCCTCTGTAGGCACTCCGGTCTCCAGCAGCATGTCCAAGAGCCTGCAACAAACTTTGCCGATGCGTGGCACCATGTCACTCCAGTCTGTGGAGGAGTTGATGCCTGCTCCGTCACACACGCCTGGGGTGTGGTGCGCTGTGGCTGCAGTGTGCCGCCAGCTGTTAACTTCATGGGAGTTGCTGGCGAACGCCCACGACTTTGCTATGCCCAAGTCGTGGTTGCACGCGTCGAGGCATGGCATTGTTGCAGCATTGCAAAAGCTTCGGGCTCGAGCCATGCCATGGACGTGGGTGGTTGTTTCAATATGGCAATGCTTCCTTTTTTTTTTTTTTCGCACGCCTTTTCTCCATCGCCTTGGTTTGTCCCCCCGAAAACCCTGCTTAAGGGGAGCCGCCGGGCACGGGAGGCACACAAGCCATTTGTACCCCGGGGGCCACCGGCTGTGCGAAGTGCAGCTAGCCGGCAGGCAGCCGGCTAGCGGTGAGGGGCGCCTCACCTGCATCTGCAAGAAGCTCACCCAGGGGCGGGAGCGCACCGTCGGCATGGCTGAGTGCCCCCGCCCGCTGGGTGAAGGTGGCAGCAAAGGCCGACATGGCTGCGTGGGACAGGAGTGCGGACCAGCGGGCAACAAGCACAGCGACCAGGCTGGACCGGAGACGAACCGGCACCTCTCGCGCCTTGGCTCGCGCGAGGGCGCGCACAAAGGAGGCTGCCTCGTCACTCCACCGGCCCCCGACCTCGACGGCCAAGACAACCAAGCGGCAGCGCTCCGAGCGGAGCAGCTCCGGGTATGTCCGCTCTTTGCGGCGGCGTGCAAGGGCAAGGGCGGCGCCTTGAACACGACCACCCCGGCGGCAGGGCTGCCCCGAGCCGGACAAGGGAGATACCAACGTGGTGTCGACGGCGAGCTGCTGCCCGCCCCACAACGGCAAGCCGTTGGCAACGACCTCAAGCCGCCGGTCGTCGACACGATCGACCTGGAGATTCATGTCTGCCAAGCGGGTGTTGCAAGTCACCCTCGCCCCGGCCTCGCGGCACACTCGCGCGGCGGCCCGCTCGAGAGGGCACCCGCGGCTCCGGAGGACACCGGCCCGAGCACAGGCTGCGCGGTGGTCGCCGAGGGAGTCCAAAGGGCGACGACACCGGCAGTAGCGCTGGGAAAGCGGCAGCGGAAGGCGCAGGCGCCTGAGAAGGAGGACGCGGAACAAGTGGGAAGGATAGGACAGGGCGGGGCACGTGGGCACGGTGGTCAAAAAGCGGCTGGCGAAGGGGCCCTGCTGCGACCTGAGCAAGGCCTCGCTGGATGGGTCCAAGGTGGAGAGCAGCTGCTCACACTGGCGGCGGGCAACAGCTGATGCCGCGGCCCCTTGCCATCCGCGAACGAAGGTGGAGGGCCCGTCTTCCTGCAAGGTCGGCGCCGGCACACCGTCACAGAGCTCACGCCAGCTCGGGGGAGTCCAGTCCGCCAGGCTGAGCTCGGCGCGTGTTGTGGCAGCAGCCCGAAGACACGGCACGTGCGGAGCCGGAGCCTCAAGGTCACGGAGGAAAGCTTGCGCCGCAGGCGGCAAGTGCTGACCGAGGACAGGCAAGCAATCCGCCCAAGACGCCCAATAAGCAGAGACAGAAGTCTGAGCAGCAGACACCAAGCTAAGGCCACCTAGCGACAAGGGCAACTGGGCGATCCGTCGAGCACGGTCGGGAAGGCCATCCACGCCAAGAAAGTCCGCAAAGGTGGACAGAACAGCCGAGTCGTGGGCGCCGGCGTACTCGGCCGTAACCGACGGGGGAGCATCCGGAGAAGATAGTTGCAGCGGGGGGAGCAGCAAAAGAGCAGCAACAACCAAGAGGCTTGCAAGTCATCAAGCTCGGGCAAACGCTGCAGGAGCTGGTCATGGCCGGCTCGCGACACCTGAAGCTGAGTCCGGACAAAAGCAGCAGAGCCAAAGGGGACCCCAAGAACAGTAAGCCCTTGCTCTGCATCCGGCAAGGGACCAGCGCCAACCCAACAGGACAAGTCCGGCATCCCGGGCTGGCCAAGAGCCCGGGGCACTTGGCCCGCCGCGTTCCACACTCGCGTCTTCCCCTCGTTGAGGCGCACGTGGCAGTGCGCTTCAAGCTGGCGGGCCAGGGTGCCATGCACATGTCCAACCCGGTCCGGCCGGTGGACTACAGCATAGACATCGTCCAAAAAGGCTACCAAGGTTTCCTCACGCAAATGGTTGTGCGCTGCCTGCAGTGCTGGGTGCTGGCCAAGCGCGTACAAAGCTGGCATTAAGGGGTCTCCTTGCTCACCCCCCTCTGCTTGGTGGACGATGTGCGGCACTCCTCCCGAATCGTGCCAAACATACTCCGAGGGCTCGGA